TCTTTCCTTAGTTGAATTAAAATACTTTAATAATTGAATTACATCCAGCCACCAAAGTTGAACAATAGTTATCAACAGCTATAGCACAACAGAATTCATATTAGGAGATTGAATACTCTTAGATTAATTAATAATTGAATGTATTGAGATTATATTGATGACTAGATTCTATAGTTTAAGATGGTTCAATATTTATTAAAGTACTCACTGATTTTATCTCTTAAATATTGATCTATTATTATTATTATTATTATTCAATCTAAATTAATTAATCAGATCCTAATTCTAAACTTGATAATAGTTCTCTACATTTATTATATTCTCCAAATTAATTAAAGTGTTCTAATTAAGGATGAAATTTGGAAGCCCAACAGAGATTGGTTTCCTAAATTTCATGGATCAATATTTATTAGCCGGAATTAGTTTTATTTTCCTTTTAGAGCATATTTTCTAATTCCTCATAAAAACTATATTGAGAATATTATGATCTTTGTTATTATAGATTCTGAATCCATTCAATAATAATAGTAATCAATTAGTTTAACTTTTGGATTACATTTGATTTCATTTGATCAACTACACAATGTAATGATTCAATAACATTTATTTAGCTATTTATGATATTTTGTAATTTTTCCATCTTATTTACTTAATTTTCTTCAATCAAGGAAATTATTTTCTTTAACCCAATTACTTTGGCATCCATGTCTGTGTTCTCTAAGCATTCTGAGCATAAGAGCTTTTAATTCCTTGATAAATTTGGATCAACTGCAATTGTAAGAACTGGTAGCTTATGTCCTTTAGAACAACAAAAATCATTTTCATTTTCTATCATTTTTGGTTTAAACATTAAATTAAATAATAAAATTTATTGAGAATTAATTACATTTATATTACCTATTTTTCATTATTTAAAAAAAAAAAATACAAAATTTTTTATGCAAGTTAAGGTTTTCCTTTCTTTTAATTGAGTATTTACTTTTTAATTAAAAAAATTTACAGATCGTAATGCTTCCCTGCTTATAACCTAATTCATGCCTTCAACTAAAGTATTAATATCATTATTATTTTCTATATGATTGCAATTTTTATATTTTAAATTATCTATCTCAAGCTTTTACCTAATTGTAAATCTTTTCACTTTCTGCAAAATCATAATAATAACTTCTCATTCTTTCGAAAAATTTGACTTTAAGCTACTTTCATATTAGATTAAATCTTAAATTGTGTATATTTTTACTCTAAAAGCTTTAAAGATTAAATTCAAATTAATTAAAATCTCTATATAAATAGTTTATATCAAATTTCATCATTAGTTCAAAAAAGCTATAATTAGTTTACATGGAACCTTTGAATTGATATAAAAAGAATTTTCATGATATTAAATCATTCTGATGTGGTTTTTCATTTTTTAATTTTAATTCTATTATAGTACAATGATCTATCTTTTTTGAACATTAACTTATCACAAAAATCTTTTAAATCAGTGAATTTTTATAGAGAAATTTAGTTATTTTTTTTACCTAATAAATCTGTTATTTTCTTTATATCCTCACAACTTTATGATATCATTCATTAGTTTTATATATTTTGGTTTAATTTTTACTCTTTATTGCTTATGATGAATCATTAAGTAATTCTAATTTTTAATTGGCTTTCTCATAACTTTAAAGTAGCTTATAGATAAAATAAAAGAATCTTTGCGATAAACTTTTTCCAATTTATTTTCTTATTCTAAATCATAACACCAATTTATTAATTGGAAAAAACTTTGTAAATAAAATATAATGAAAATTTATTGATCTCTTTTTTAGCTAAAGCTCATTTCATGCTAAAAGTCACAATGATGCAATGATTGTAAATTAAGAATATAAAAATGGAGCATCCCTTTATTATATAACTAATCAATATTTAATTACTCTATCAGCACTCCTATTTCTCATTATTTTTCCTATAATATACTTAATTACATCTTAAAATTAGTTGACTTTTTGATAAATATTTTTTCCACACCCAACCATCAATATATGATAAAGGTTTTATTTAACCATTCATTAATAAAAAATTTCTATTATATTGTAGTTAGCTTGTTTTGTTGTAACGAAAAATATGATTGAAGGTACTCATTTGCTTAATATATAGGTTAAATTAGTTGAATATCTAAATAAATTCATATTTAAATTTTAGAAAATTTAAAATTAGGGTTATTAATTAATGCAAGTCTTAAGTTTTTCTTTCTATAAAAACAATAAATAAAAATATTTACAAATCCTATAATTGATTCCTAGTTCTTTTATTTTTCACTGAAGAAAGCAAAAACTAAATAAAAATAAAATATGCACTCTTAAATCAGGATTAATTTAATGTGTTGAATTACCTATAAATTGTTCTTTTGTCATTTCCCACAAGTATATAAATAAACAAATTTTAATTGGTTTTTTTATATTTTCATCAAATCAACTAAAATTCATTTTTAATTTAACAACACATTTTAGTTTTAAACATATTTAGAATTCTTTTTCAAACTGTTCTCTCAAATCAATTAATTTCAGCTTCACCTTTGAAATCGCCTTAATTTAAAGAATACTAATTATTGAAAGAAGAAGATTTGTGTGTTTGATAAATAGACTTAACATTTGGAATGCTTTTTTGAGAAAAAATTTTAATGCTTATTGATACTTTGATATGACAAAATAATAAAAAAATTAAATAATATTAAAAGTTACGGTGAGAAAATTTATTATAAAAAACACCATTTTATTTACTTCAAACAAGTGACTCACACATTATAAGATATATATACAGAACTCAAATTGGAATCTAATATATTTCGATTGTAAGGATTATTAATCTTCAACAATAACCAAAGCAATATACTTCATTAGTAATAATAATATATAACTTACAATAAAGATGAAAATAGTTACTTTTTAATATGAAGATGCTTAGGATTTTTGTGGAATGTATATATGGGATACCCAAACTTAAACAATTAGAATTATGATATAATCAGTAACAAAAGTTTTTCATCATCAAATACTCAAAAAATGTTTTTTTTGAGGGAAAAATATTACTTTATAGGGAAATATAGATTTATTTTCTTAATTGTATTTTCTTCTTAAGATAAATTGAAGTTTTTAGTATTAAAATAAATTAATCTGTGTCATTAAAGATGTTTTTGATTATTTATTACACAAAGAATGAAGAATTGATAACTGAACTAATTGAACATATTTATATGTAATTGCTCAAAC